TTTTTTTTTATTGGTCTTATGAAGTATTCTAATTTGTTGGTGGGTTTTTGTTAAATGTGAGCCAAAACCATCACAATTAAAAGAACCAAAGACTTAAACTACTTCAGTCTGTGTGTATTGAATTTATTTAATACACGAGTTTCACAATTTGAGTTGAATTACTGAAATAAATGAACTTTTCCACGACATTCTAATTTATTGAGATGCACCTGTATGTTATATAAAAAAAAACTACTGATTTGGTGTAAAGTATAAAAAAACTAAAACTATTTTAAATTTGTTTATATTTAAAACTATTTAAAATAATTGTTTTAAAAGAAGTGTCTTGTGCTCACAATGCATGCATTTATTTGATCAAATGCAGTAAAAACAGTAATATTGTTAAACATTGTACAATTTAATATAACGCTTTTCTATTTGAATATATTTTAAAATGTAATTTATTCCTGTGATGGCAAAGCTGAATTTTCAGCATCATTACTCCAGTCTTCAGTCTCACATGATCCTTCAGAAATCATTCTACATTTCTTATTTCATTGCTGCTTAATATTCTTGTGGAAACCATTATATTTTTTTTCCAGGATTATTTGATGACTATAAAGTTCAAAAGAACAGAATTTATTTGAAATTGAAATCTTTTGTAACATAAATGTTCTTAATGTCACTTTTGATCAAATTCAAATCAATTCTGATTTCTTTGAAAGGTAATAACACACCTCTTCTCAACATGCTGCACAATTTGAGGTATCATTCATGTCCGTAACACACACAAGTAATACCTAATGTTGGTGGTTTGTTCAAATTATCAACCATAAGCATGAGCAAAAGCAATCTTGAAGATGTCATTAGCATAGACTGTACTGCCAATTTAGTTTAATTGATATGCAGCAGGATGATTAGAATGTTCTGCTCTGCTGCCTTAGTAACAGTCTAATAAAACCATTGAGCCAAAATCATCACAATTAAAAGAACCAAAGACTTAAACTACTTCAGTCTGTGTGTATTGAATTTATTTAATACACGAGTTTCACAATTTGAGTTGAATTACTGAAATAAATGAACTTTTCCACGACATTCTAATTTATTGAGATGCACCTGTATGTTATATAAAAAAAAACTACTGATTTGGTGTAAAGTATAAAAAAACTAAAACTATTTTAAATTTGTTTATATTTAAAACTATTTAAAATAATTGTTTTAAAAGAAGTGTCTTGTGCTCACAATGCATGCATTTATTTGATCAAATGCAGTAAAAACAGTAATATTGTTAAACATTGTACAATTTAATATAACGCTTTTCTATTTGAATATATTTTAAAATGTAATTTATTCCTGTGATGGCAAAGCTGAATTTTCAGCATCATTACTCCAGTCTTCAGTCTAATATGCTGATTTGGTGTTCAAGTAACATTTCTTATTTCATTGCTGCTTAATATTCTTGTGGAAACCATTGATTTTTTTTCAGGTTTTCCTGATAAATAGAAAGTTGAGAAAGAACAGCATTTGTTCGTAATTACACAGTATATACAAATATATACGGACCCCAAATGGTAGTGTGTATATCTTCCTAATTCACTGCATAAAATGAAAATGTCTTAAGAATTAAGTTTAAAGGGGGATTTAAATGGTGCTTATAATGAAAAACAACAACAACCTTGATTGAGGAATGCAGTATCTGGACCCATACCCTGCCATTTACACTCACCCAGGTATTCCTCGGCTCCTCCACACCTCATACAAAACCGTTGGGATGTTTCCACTGGCTGTGCTCGTCCCAGCCTGATAAACAGAGACAAAACACAGTAATGATGGATCATCTGTCTTTAAACTTCCTGTCAAACATGTAAACACACACTGTGTTTTGTCTTCCTTTTGATTCTGCTCTGTCCCTGGTATACTCTACCCGTCTCCACCTGTTCAACGGCTCCCCTTTCTGCTCTATCTATATTTATAGTCCCTCTTCTACAAACCCACAGCACTATCTTCAAAACAGCCATCTATATCAGGGAACTGTGAAGGAGAGTTAACGTAACAACTGTGTGTTTTGCATAGGCAAACACCACATTCTGAGGCTAATTTTGACGGCTCTGTATTTAGACTGGGCTCGTTTTTCATGTTTCAGAGTTTCAGTTGATGAGTTGACTGTACATTGAACTGCAGTTCCCCACAGGGCTTGGATAACAGCCTGGAGTGACTGTAAGGCCAAAACACACACAGTACAGCAGACATGCCTGAACATGAGGTCTCAATTTCTTTAATTGGTCAAATGAAAAAAAAAAAAACTAGGCAACTTGAACTGATGACCTGAAGCATGACACCTCCAGTAAAACACATCACTCTATCAGCCAAAGGTGTGAGGAGACAGGTGTAAAAATGACCCCTTCACTCACTCTTCTTGTTAAAGGGGCCAACATTTCATTCAAATGCAAAATCAACTTAATCTAAAGTGTTAGTCAAATTTAGTTTTTCTTGACATTTCCATCCACTCTCTGGCCATTAGAATGAAGCTGTTTGTGATACCATACCTTTGAGTTTCTATATGTACATTTTACTAAATGTTTCAATATGTAAATATGACTGAATACTGGTGTAGTCCAGTTTTAAAAGGGGTAGTTCACCCAAAAATGAAAACCCAGTCATCATTTACTCACCCTCAAGTTGTTCCAAATCTCTGACTTACATTGGGTATAGAAAAGAATCACCCCCCTTTAAAATAATCAGATTTTGTTGCTTTGCAGCCTGAAATGAAGATGGACACAGTTTTTGTTTTATCCAGCTGTATTTACTCAGTGCAACTTATAACATCCAAGTGAAAGATATAACACCAACATGTCAGAAAAAAATTGTCTCTTCTAACTTTGCACATCTAGACTTTGCAACATTTGCCCACTCTTCTTTGCAGAACTGCTCAAGATCAGTTCAATTTGATGGTGACTGTTTGTGGACTGCAGTCTTCAAGTCATTCCACAGATTTTCAATGGGGTTTAAGTCTGGGCTCTGACTAGGTCATGCAAGGACATTCACCTTTTTCTCCTTCAACCACTGTGGTAAGTTTTGCTGTGTGCTTTGGGTCATTGTCATATTGGAGGGTAAAACTTCTTCCCATTGACAACTTTCTGGCAGAGGGCAGCAAATTTTCCTCAAGTATGTGACGGTATTTTGCCCCATCTGTTTTTCCTTCTATCCTGACAAGTGCTCCAGTCCCTGCTGCAGAGAATCCCCCCCATAACAGGATATCACCACCTCCATGCTTTACTGTAGGAATGCTGTTATTTAAATGGTGAGCTGTATGGTGTTGAGGCCAAATAATTAAATTTTAGTCTCATCTGCCTCAGAATCTTCAAGGTGTGTTTTGGCAAAGCTCAGTCGTGACTGCATGTAGTCTTTCTTGAGAAGTGGCTTTTTTCTTGCAACCACATTTGTGGAGAATTTGTGATATTGTTGTCACATGCACACAATGACCACTCTTTGTCATAAATTCCTGCAGCTGCTTCAGAGCTGCTGTAGGCCTCTTGGTCGCCTCTCTGAACAGTTTCCTCCTGACTCTTTCATCCAGTTTGGAGTGACGTCCTGATCCAGGGAGGGTCTGTGTTGTACCAAATACCTTCCACTTCTTAATAATATATTTCACTGTGCTTCTAGACATTGGCAAAGCCTTTGAAATTTTTGCATCCAACTTCTGACTTGTGCCTGTCCACAACTTTCTCCCAGAGATCTTTTGACAGTGCCTTGCCACCCATAGTGGATTGTTTGCTTCAGTTGCACTACCAAGGATCAGTGTTGCCAACTGCTTTCAATTAAAAGTAGCTAAAACTGGTAGCTAAATGTCACTAGCATAATGACATAATGGCAAATTCACTGATCTATATAAAGATGAATGTAGATCAGTGGGCAAGATGAGAACTTAGATAAGGTTTGTCCAAGAAGTTGCTATATTTGTCCCTAAACTTTTTTAAAAAGTCTCAAAAGGGGTAGGGAAGTCGTTAAATCTAGCTACAAAGTAGCTAAATTGGCAACACTGCCAAGGATTGAAGTGTTCCAGGAAAGCTCTTTTCATGCTGAGCTAATCAAAATGAGCACAGCTGACAGTTGAAAGTCTAATGGCTTTGTGTGCCATTGAGAAGGTGATTAGCTACACCAGACTGAGTTTACAAGTCATTTTTAGGAGGGGATGATCCTTTTTCCAACTCAGTGATTCAGTTTTTTTTTTTTCTTTTGGAAGACTTTTTGGAAGTCAATGGGGTCCAGTGTTGTTTAGTTCTCAACATTCTTCAAAATATCATATTTTAGGGTCCACAGAAAAAGTTTTACAGGTTTGGATCGACTTGAGGGTGAGTAAATGATGACTTATACTAAGCTTTTAAGAACAGGCCAAGTTACAGAACACTCCATTTCTAGAGTTGGGATGTCATTATCATGATGATAACTCTAAACAAACTCAGACCTTCAGGAGGTGGTCTGAGTGTGGTTTCCTTCAAGTCACCTGTATTTATACAGCACTATCTTCACAATTTGCGCTATCTTTCCATGTTTTTAAATCTCATTTTAATTTTAATTACTGTTGGTGGATACCATAGCAATAAATGAGAAGTATTGTAAACTGAATCCTATGTGTTGCAAAACTCTGTGACTTCTCCTATAAACCCTGAAAATAGATCAATCCAAAACAAATGTTTAACGGCAAATTGTTGAAGATTAGCCAATAGGCTGTAAATTCATTAAATGATAAGCTGTTTCCCCACAAAAGCAGTTTATTCAGCATAATAAAGCCTCTCCTCCATTGATATACAACACAAAAATACAGCCTAGTCTTCTTCTCTGCGTACTGTAGCGTTACGTTTTGTTTTTGCTAAACTCAGAGGCTTGTTTAAAGCGGCTTTGGTTTAACATGGTGCTAAGATAATGGCACAACAGTCTAATACATACACCAAAATTAATACTTGTTGCAATGCATTCTTAGACTGCCTTCTCTATAACATGCGACACTGCCTTAGAATTTTACCAAAATTAGGCAGAATTTGAAGTTGCTTATAGTTTTTGGAACAGCCTTTGTGTCAGGCTTAAAATGCTGCCAAGGTTTTAGAATTGAGCATCTGCACCAGATACCAAGTCTGCAGCTCTAAAGTACAGTTCCGTTCCAGTCCATAGACAACTGGAAATTACTCTTGAATATACAAACGTCTTCTGACATCTAACATGCACATACACAGCTCTGTCTGTTTTGAGTCTCGACTGGACAGCGGATAGCAAGAGGAGTGCATTTGTGCGTCAGTCGCGTCCCAGGATGACCCTGCTATTGGATCGAGCTGTGTGTCTACTGACGCTTTTTCTTCACTCTCTCTCTTCTGTTGGTTTTGTCTACATTAGGGCCTTTTGTTTGTTCACCTTGCACTCCATCTGGGAGGCATCATTCAGGAGACAGATTTAAACAACAGTTTCAAAGTCTCACCTTAGCCAACATTATCCAAGTCTTCGCGACATCTAGCGGAGTCGTGACAAACGCTGCTACTCCACCTGGAAAGAGATTGTGCATATGTATCAGCACACAAACAAGCACTAATTATAGTGATGATCGTGTTATAATTACCACCGAGCATAAATGTAAATATGTGGCATGACATCAGCCCTGATCACCCGACGGAAACGCTCTGGAGAAAAAGAGCGAACGCGGATCAATTTTTCAAACTAGCCTGGCAATGTCAAGCACTCGTAAACACTCATGCACATTCATAAACTTGTTTTGGCGTGAATGAGAGCAGAACGAGGTTCTCTCTCCTCTCTAATGGCGGTCGGACAAACAACAGCATCAAGCTTTAAACATGCTCTTCCCAGTGCTGGAATAAACAAGTTCTCCCATACTGCCTGATTTCACTTGATTAACTGACAATTAAAAGCTGCCCCAACGCAAGTGATGTGTCTTTAGAGAAATGTTCTAGGCTCAGGCTGTCGATTACCACAGAACTGAATTTTGACATAATTTAGTACCTCAGGTTGTAAAAACAAGCAAAGAATCACATGTATAGAAATACATTTTCAACTGAAGTAAAAAAAAATCAATTTCTTTCTTTTGTGCCTGTTCTACCCCATTTCCCCTGAACAAATTGAATTCAAAAGCATCTGCTAAATAAATAGCTGTACATATAATGAAGAAGTTACTGGATTTGCCAGCTTTACATGATCATGGTAATGGTAGGAGGATTTATAATAGTACTGTGGACAGACAAAGCAAGCAATCGATTCTATTGCTATTGATGTGACATGTACTTGTACTGAACCCAGAACACAAAGGACACAATAGTGGAGATGGAGAGAGATTGGGAAAGGCAAGTGTTTCTCATTTGTTCTCTTGAGGCTTGCAGCTGTGGCAGTGATGGCAAGCAACTGCGGCCATACAATGTGTCACAATTCACATTTGTTAGTGCGATTTCACAATGACGCTAACAAGCGCAATTCACCTAAAGCGATACATCCGTGGCAAAGCAACACATGTGCACAGACAACTCGAATCCAAGAACACTCTCCAGGTGGCGTGGCTGACAGCCATGTTCTTTCCCCTCTGGGTGATGCATCCTCGTCCCTCCATTGTGTCCCAGTACCTGATGAGTTTTGACATGGACGGAGATGTTTTCCAAAATGGTGACTAGGGAGTTAGCCAGCTGCAAGGGCCCCTGGGCCAGACTTGAGCTCCCTCAGGATAAATCTAGACACTGGATCTGGTTTGTAAACTCAATGACTGCTGACAACAGCTATGAAAGTTACCGAAAGTCTGATGCAGGGGCAACAAAAGGTCAATGGCGTACACTTCCTCAACTGACTCTCCACCTCTAATTGGTTGTTTCTGTCCCTCTTTGTCGGTGCACACCAGCTGGTGAACAACCTGATGTGACCATCTTGACCCAAGAGGAATTAAACAGGAATGTGGCTAGGTAAAGTTTGGATATTCCTGGTGTTGGACCCCATCCCAACTCCTTATCTCTCGTTCTCCCTCGCTCTCTTTCCCAGACCTCTGTGCCGAGGCTAATCCGACACACCTGCAAGAGCTCCGCACACTGCTGCCTGCCAAGAGTCCAGCCGTCCCCCCTGCCTCCTCCACCAAACGGCCTACACAGAGAAAGAGAGAGAGAATTTAGGATTATTACATTTATCAGTCATTAAAAAAAAACAAAAAAAAAAACACCCAAAGCCCTTGGGTTTACATGTATGGGAACGCAACAGAACAGATAATTTCCAAATCTTTTTTTTTTTAGCTCTACGTAGAGTTGTTTCATAAATGATGACTTTTATAACATTAACACTGTTATTTTCCTGCTTTATTAATGTAAAGCTGCTTTGAAACAATCTGTATTTTATAAAGCGCTATATAAATAAATGTGACTTGACTTCCACAGCTCAGCACTACAGTATTGTACACATATGCTAACTCTATCAATCCCTGGAAAACACATTGTCTTTCATGCTGGTTCAGGGTTTTCCAAGAAACGAGGGGAAACCGATATTGTGCTTTGATGAGAGTCACAGATGGAATAATATGATGAGCATGTTTCTTCATTGTGTGAAGGGGAGATGCTGGTGCTGGCTAAGATGTAAGATCTGTTCCAAAACCTAGTGAGCTGCTTTGTCGTCTGCTGTTCTATCTACTAAAGAAGCATCCTAACTGAAATAAAATATCAGAAAAACACTGAAGCACTACTTGAAGATGAGCAGCACTCAATAAATAAACAATGAAGTTTGATGTTAGCATGTTGCTAAGCTAACAAAACAAAACTCTGCTAAGCACAAAAGTACACCACATACAAAATATTACGTGAAAGTCAATTTTTATTTCATTTCATTTCATTTTAATTAATATTTGTTTTTTGTTTTGTTTTTATTAAACAAACATAAGCACATTTATAATCAACATTTCTTTCTATGCTACCGTTTAAAAGTTTGGGGTAAATACACATTATGTAATATTGTAATGTTTTTGAAAAAGGTCTCTTATGCTCACCAAGGATGCGTTTATTTATTTGATCAGAAATACAGTAAAAACAGTAATATTGTGAAATATTATTACAATTCAATTGAACTATTTTCTATTTTAATATATTTTAAAATGTAATTTATTCCTGTGATGCAAAGGTAAATTTTCAGCATCATTACTCCAGTCTTCAGTGTCACATGATCCTTCAGAAATCACTCTGATATGCTGATTTGCTGCTCAAAAAAAAATTCTTCTTAGTATTACCAGTGCAGAACAGCTGTACTGCTTAATTTTGTGGAAACCATGTTTTTTGTTGTTGCTGTTGTTGTTGTTCAAATAGAAAGTTCAAAATAACCGCATTTGTTTTAAATAGAAATCTATGTCATTTTTTTAAATAAAAGTATTAATAATAAAAAAAAATCTTCCCTAAACTTTTCGTTTTAAATGGTAGTCATTATACTGAGTTGCAATGCATTTTAGGATTGTCTTCTCTGGCAACATACATGTGATGCTACCTGAATGTTTGGCTATAGACAGATGCCTCACTAGGTTTTAGAACAGATTTTTGTGTTGATGAGTCGTCTGTATGCAGCTACAGGTGCGTTCTGTAGCCTCAGGTAAGACAGGTCTGACAGGATCTCAGTCAATTGCACAATTTGTACTAATTTTAGGACGGCTAATTGTTGTTTCAACTCAGAGTATTAAAGAGGTGAAGTAGGAGGGGAGGAATGTGGTAAATTAAAGAGAAATGTGTGTGAGAAAGGAGGAGGGAGATTCAGTGACTTCACGTGTTTGTTGGATTTGTGTTGTGTTTGGAGGGAGTTATTATGCAGCCAGGCTGCAGATAATTGCTGGAGTTTTCCTACGGCCTCAGACCAGGAGCATCTGTTGGCTAAGAAAGGAAAACAATTGAAGCACAGCATGAAGTAATTATGAGTGATCCCCTCCAACTTTGTGCACAAGAACACACACGCATAAACGCTCTCTTTGTCAGTGCATCATGTGTGTTTCATTAGCTGTGAGATTAAGGAAGAGTCTTTGTTTCCAAGTTCAAAGTGCTTGTGCTGGAGAACATCCATTTATCCCCGTCACACTCACTGAAAACAAACTGGAAGCAAGTTCACCTCAAACCTGACTGACCACAGCTCTACATGCCCAGGATGTACCTGACATGAATTACATTTAACACCAAAACTGGTGTTACATTCAGCTGCAAAATTGACATGAAATGACTTATAATGGAGGGAAAAAAGGCATCTAATTTTAGAAGATAAAAATAACATTTTAGTTGACCATAAAGAATAAAATTAAAATCCAAATGAACATTTTAAATATTAATTTAACATTTAAAGCCACGATAATGTTAGCTGCAGATTTTCTTCCATTTTGTGATGCTCATAATTATATATAATTATTTCAAAATTGTGATGTTGGAATAATTAAGATTTTTTAATGTTGTTGAAAGAAGTCTCTTATGCTCACCAAGGCTGCATTTATTTGATCAAAATACAGTAAAAACAGTAATAATGTGAAATATTATTAGAATTTTAAATAATTGTTTTCTATTAGAATATATTTTAAAATGTAATTTATTTCTGTGACACTGAAGACTGAAGGAATGGCTGCTGAAAATTCATCATTGCCATCACAGGAATAAATTAAAATGTCAATATATAATACAATATGAAACGGTTTATTTTAACTTGCAACAATATTTCACAATATTAGTGTTTTTACTATATTTTTAATAAAATTAATTCAGCCTTGGTTAGCATAAGAGACTTCTTTAAAAAAAAAAAAATTAAAAATTCCAAATTATTCCAAACTTTTGACCAGTAATGTACATCAGATTGTAATGGATTATCAAAAAATAAATAAATAATAAATGGTCCCACTTTATATTGTGGCCCTAATACCTGTGTACTTACATAGTAACTAGATGTGTACGTAGTATGTAACCACAGTGAATGTTTGTGTAACTACACATATGTAACAAACCACTAAATGGCATGTGTAAATACAAATGTGTAACAGGACATTGGTAACAACACTTTTTTTACAGTGGTGCACCAACTCCACCAACTCCACCAACTCAAGATCCAACTCCTTCCACTTTACATATCACTAAACCAACCCGTTTCCACCCTCTGGATCAAATTGTTCCAATTACTCTTATACATATTGTTGCTACAATATGTAGTTAGTATTAGGGCCACTTAATATAAAGTGGGACCAAATAAATAAATAATAATAATAAATGTAATTCTATGGTATGGTTTTATCAGTCGGTTGTTGATTGGATTTTGAGATGTGGGCACTGCACTGAAAAAAAAATGAAGATGAAATATGCAGTGAAAGGGTTTAAGTGGACTAAATGAAGATTGAGTTATGAAATTTTGAAAAAAAAATATAAAAAAATAATAATAAAATAAAAATAAAAAATAAAAAAACATGGCATGAATCAATTGTCCCGGTATGCATGGATGAATTGTTAAAAAAATAAGGCAAATTACATGCATTTAAAAAATTTACAGGGTAAAATTTTCCATTCAATGCCAGCTTTAACAAAAACATGTAAAATCTGTCCTTGTTGCCAACAACACCACTTTTAGTCACATTCAAATCAAAATGAACCAAAAACTGATATGCATGGGTCTTCAAATGTATGACATGGAGTCTATTGTTCAGATAGTGAATGATTTCACCATTTTTTTTCTTTTTGAGTTTGTTTCACCATTGAAAGGACGAGGATGGAGACATTTGTAGACCCGAGCAGGTGGGCTCCTTTCATGTGGAAAGATGGGGAGCTTGATAAACGGACATGGTCAGGGTGAGTAGTAAGGTTTAATAAAGGACTGTGAGACGCAGCGAGCCAGGCCACTGGTAGCCTTGTGTGACAGGAACAGTGTGTTTAATATGATTCTGGCAGCTACTGGAAGCCACTGATGATATGCGAGTAAAGGTGCAGTGTGAGAGGATTTCTAGAGGTTAAACATGCTCAGAGCAGAAGTAGGCAGTGGATTAGGACCGAGTTGCACGTAGCTGTCAATTATTTTGGGCCTAAATAGGAAATGAGGTAGTTTAGGGGTAAAGAAAGGGCCTGATTTGCCTGATTATTCCAACTGACATGTTAAACCAACAGCTGCTGAGTCCACGTAGCTTGAACTTTTCATTTGATAATAAGTATAATAAAGTCTGACTTATCTAACTCCTTTGTTTAACCCAGGACATACCTGAGATCAATTTAAAAACATTTATGTGGACAAATGGACCTTTTTCTAATCACACTGCATTCTAAAATATAAGATTTACTTATTATAGTCTTTTCCGGAACACACCATCCTGACCATGCATTACTCCAAACGTACACTTCAGCTTCAATTACTCAAACCAAACTAAGACTCACTCCTGACACACTTGCACTTAATCATGAGAATAAGTTTGATCCACTGACATAAACGTCGAGTTGAGTGGGCACGGTGGGAATAAATGGCCGGCTGATGTAATGACACAGCTGCTTGGTGGTTTTGTAACAGCAGCGCTGAGTTTAGGGGATTGTTGGTAGATAAACTTTGGGAATTGTGGGATACGCTGGAGAGAACAGATGGTTTACTGCGGCCTGCTGCTCAGATGCCGGGGCTTAAGATGTTTCTGGTGCGAATGACTTGAGAACTGGTTTGGCGATACTTGGGATTTGATTTCCCAACATGAAATGCTTGCCAGGCTTGTAGATTGCAGTGTTTTGTAGACTGTGTGTGGCTCAATGCAGCAGCATGCGTTGCACTCAACATGAAACATGCGCAAAGTACATCAAACTCTTTTAATTTAAAAAAGCAAAGAAAATCCTGATATGGACTCTTATTTTTGTGCTTTTGAGAGACTTTATGTGTAGGAATAAAGCATGTAGCCACTTAATCCTGTATCTCTACCACTGCTTTACGCTCTATTATTACATCGATTCAGCTGCTCGAAGATCTCTGAATTTGACACGCAGAAAATATACACACATGTAGACACAAGGATGACGGTGTAAAATGAGGGTGCAACGGTTCAAATTTCTTACGGTTAGAAAAATACTTTGTACTTCACTATTTATGACTCAAGGCCTGCTCACACCCGATGATTAGAACTATAAAAATAGCTATAGAGTTTTAATAATCGCTCTAATTGAGAATAAGGAAGCCCACACTGCTGCTATAATGATTAAGGCACACAGGAACAATACTGCTGGAATTAAAGAGAGAGAGAGAGAAAAAAAAATCACTTTTTCAAGTTGACAAATAAATAGACATTTAAAACGGTTTCATTATTCATTGTAGAGCTTAAAATGTTAAATGTAAGCTCATTGTTTGGTCCCACCTGTGAACTGCATTTGTTAACTTGACTTACAACTGAAACCTCAATTTATTATTTATAGCTACATTTAACTACATTTGTAGGTATTTTATGTTGTATGTCATTTAACAACATTAATTCAATTGCTTTAAATCATTTATCTGTCAATTTGAAAAGTTATTTAAAGGTGCCATATAATGCATAGATACAATATTTTAAATTGTTCTCTGATATCTACATAGAAGGTATGTGGCTTAGGTAAGGGCAAAAAATCTCCAGAAATGGTTTATTGGCTGTGCAGGTCCGCTGGCCTAGAACATGGGGTCAACATGTCAACATGGGGACCACTTGCAAATGTTGGGGGCGTAACTATTAGTGATCCCGACTGTAACGTCACAGTGTATATTTCAATACTTTCTCTCGCAGTTATACCGTTGGTTAATTATACTGTATATAAAATGAGGACATCAGGGAGCTGCTATTAATATGCGGGGCATTGAAACTGCTTGTGAATGCACGATCGCGTTTTACTTTCACTTTCGAGATTTGCGATAGCACGTGCTGTGTAAACTACAGCGGCAGTACTTACCACACATTTTACAAGATCAGATGCTTGTCAGTGGTGCTCAGGATCTGTAAATTCCATGTACAGAACTGTTATTATTCAACTATGCCAACGTAAATACAGTTTTCCATTCTATGGCACCTTTGATTAAAGGGATAGTTCACCCAAAAATGAAAAAAATCTGTCACCATTCACTCGCCCTCATGTCATTCCAAACCTTTATGATTTTCTTTCTTTAAAATTTCTTCTTCTTTGTTTCACAGAACAATGTTGGTAACCATTGAGTGGACAAAAAAACACTGAGACGTTTCTAAAAATATCTTATGTTTATGTTCTGCAGAAGAAAGTGAGTCATGCAGGTTTGGAAAAACATGAGGGTGAGTAAATGTTGACCATTTTCATTTTTAGGTGAGTTATCCCTTTAATACATTGATATTAAAAAAAAATTCATTTTATTTTTAAGTGGCACTCCTACTCCTTCAATTCTAAATCACTGGTAGTGTACTGGGTCGCCATTTAATGCCCAAATCTGTGTCCAGAATAAAAAAATAAATAAAAAAATTCCAGGTAATTTAAAACTGAATGCATCATTTGAAAGAATGTGGAATAATCAACTAAGCGAAAGCGGCAGTGTAAAACCAACACTGGCATCTCATTCCATTGTCTCATCTACGCTTTCTTGCTTTTCAAAGCCATGCACTTTTGAAAGAGAGTTTAGCAAAGACTCTCACATTCCAACGGCTCCACACAGATGGCCGGAGAGGCTGAAAACATGGAAGAATGAAGGAGTGAGAGAATGCCTTTGAACGTGTCACAAAGAGGCGGCCATGAATGACACTCCTTATTACGGCCGAGCATCGCGGTTAACGCTCGCCCACAACTGCACGTGCTATTGTCCTCCGATGCCTCTCCTTCTCCACTCTGCTCCGGTCGCTAGGCCAAGAGCGCTAATGGAATTTTCTGCTCTCGCCCTGGAGACATGATGTCATCCTCACAAACTGGGCCTTTTTTTGGGGGGGGGGAAGAAAAACGACTTTTATGTGGCCCGGACCAGACAATGAAGAAGGAAATGGACAGTTGGCTAAGACTCAAGCCTTGCGAGAAATTACGATTCCGCTTAACCACTGGTGAGGGCGACCAATAAAATGCAGCGTCATTTTGAGAGCACCTAAAAAGAGAGTTATTAACAGATAGCGAGGCAAAGTGTGTGCAGTTTGAATTGTAAATGTGTCAGACCATTAACAGGCCATTATTCCTTTATTAGAGTGAAATTATGAGGCCAAATTAGATCGAAATGAGAGCAAGTTTGAGAAAAAAAGTGGATTCATACCTTTAGGTACTCCCAGAGTGGAAACTGCACCAGCGAGAATGGGATCTGAAATGAAAAGAAAGAGTTTTTTAATAATATAAGCTAGATCAGAAAGCATAAAGCACGAGTTATTATTATTATTCATCTAAGAAAAGAAAATTCTGTCATCATTTATTCACCTTCATGTCATTCCAAACCTGTATGACTTTTTTCCTCTGTGAAACACAAAAGGAGAAATGCTGAAGAACATACTAGCTGCTCTTTTCTACATAATGAAAGTGAATGGAGATCCAGGCTGTCAAGCTCCAAAAATGATAAAAAGCACTATAAAAGTATCATCATTCATCAATTTTTCATTTTGCATTCCACAGAATAAAAAAGAAGAAGTCATACAGCTTGGAATCAAATGAGGGAAAATAAATAATGACAGATTTTTTGGGGGTAAAGAAATAAAACTCTTAAGACAAAGTCAGTCTTATAGTGACAGATTACACACAGTTTTGAAAAAAAAAAGTTTTTGACATTAATGGAAAAACTGCTTTTAGAACCACCAAAATAATGGCATGATGATGCTCACTGGGGAAAAAGGGAAAAAAATTCTCTTAGCGCTTTCGTCTTCTTTAAAAGAAAATGGATGACTTGTGGCAACATGTTCAACCACAGGCACTGGCCATTTATCTCATGTGTCAAACTGTTTTAATACTGATGTCTGCACGTCTGGAAGTGTGAGGTATAAGAGTGAGAAAGAGTGTGTGAATAAGAGATGATAAATAAATGAAGAGTCTGTGGTCAGAGAGAGAGTGCAAAAGAGAGAGAGGGGTGGCAGAAATCTTCCTCTTCGTCCAATCAGGCACAGCGGAGCTAAAAGAGAGGAAATCGATGGCACTGCTGAGCAGTGGGCTGACAAAATCCCAAAATTCTGTGAGAAAGAGAGAGAGACAGACAGAGAGGAAAAATAGAGACCCGATCCATACAGCCAGAAAGCAGATTCACCCTGACAGCGATTTGCAGTAAGCGGAAGTCATTCATTTTGAATGAGAGTTGCTGATTTGTGGTGTTATGAGAGACAGAAGTGATACAACAAATGCTTTATGGTTGCTGGGGTGTTGCCAGGCATTTTCTAAAGTGTTCAGAGGGGTTGCTAGGGTGTTGTTAGGCAGCCGCTAAGGTGGTTGATAAGGTGTTGCTAAGGAAATCTGGATGGTGCTGGTGTGTTTCTAGGAAGTTGCTAAGGTCTTAGAAGTGACTGGGGGTTGCCAAGAATTTGTGTTCAGAGGGGTTGCTAGGGTATTGCTAGGTAGTCACTAAGGAGGTATGGGTGGTTGATAAGATGCTGCTAGGGAATTCTGGGTGGTACTGTGTGTTAGGCAGTTGGTAAAATTTTAAAGGGACTGTTAGGGGGTTGCCAAGCATTTGAAAAGGTGTTCAGAGTTGTTGCTAGGACGTTGCCACGCAGTCGCTAAGGTGGGGTAAAGGGACTGTTAGGGGGTTGCCAAGCATTTGAAAAGGTGTTCAGAGTTGTTGCTAGGACGTTGCCACGCAGTCGCTAAGGTGGGGTAAAGGGACTGTTAGGGGGTTGCCAAGCATTTGAAAAGGTGTTCAGAGTTGTTGCTAGGACGTTGCCACGCAGTCGCTAAGGTGGGGTAAGTGGATGATAAGGTGCTGAGGGAATTCTGGATGGTGCTGTGTGTTTTTAGGCAGTTGCTAAGGTGTTTATAAGAGGGGTTTCCAAACATTTGATACGGTGTTTTGCCAGGCAGTCGCTAAGGTGTTCTAAAAGGAGTCTAGGGTGTTTTTAGTCAGTTATTAAGGTGTTATGAACGGTTGCCAGAGAGAGCATTTCTAGGCAGTTGCTAAGGTGTTCAAAGTGGTTGATAGGGTGTTGCCAGCCAATCACTAAGGTGGTGTGAGTAGTTGATAATGTTTTGCTAAGGAATTCAGTATGGTGCTACTGTGCTTCTAGGCAGTTGCTAAGGTGTTTGTTAGGAGGCTGCCAAGCATTTGCTAGAGTATTGCCAGACAGTAGCTAAGGCGTTCTGAATGGAGTCTAGGGTGTTGCTAGACTGTTGCTAAAGTGTTCAGAGTGGTTTCTATGGTGTTGCTAGAGTGTTCTGAATTCATTTAGTGAGTTGGTTAGACACTGAACAAATAAACACTTTAAAAACAGCTGCCAAATCAATTTTAATTCACAAATGATTTATAACACAAGTTGAGGGACAACTTATGTGCTGACGCTCTGGATGAATAGCTCACCCCCTTAATTAAAAAATGATAAATTCCCTAATCTAGACTCTTTTTCCACACTCATACTGAACATCAGGTCAGTTTAAGAACCCCTGAGCTCCATCCAAAACTCTTTATTGGAAACAACTCTTTGGACAAACTGAGCATAATCTAATACAGTTAAAAAGGCTGACTGTGAAAACAAAGCCCTCACTGGCCTGAGTTAGGAAAACTTTCAAAAGATTTGACAAAAATTAACATAATGAACACAAGGAAGCAGCACTGTAAACGCTGCGTGGGCATCATGCGCACTGCCAAAACACTGCATCTCCCGATATCAAAACAAAGAAAAGATTGGTGCAATGTGACCCAATGCTGGGGAGTGTATATGTCTTTGTGCGTTTTTTCCAAAAACTATATCAACCACCTGTTTATTATTACCAACGTGATAAATTCAGCATCTCTGTTCTCAGGAGGAACGCTTAGAGGAATCTGCAAAACAGAAATGAGGCACAGCTGATTTATGCATAAGTTTAACACTTCTGGCAGAGACGGGGCACCTGAGCAACACAGATGGTCAGATTTATATTGATAAGGCCGTAATGGTTGACAAGAGAGAGGGGATGACGGATATGGAAAGACAGAAGGATGGAAAGCAGGTTTTTGACCAAAGGCCAGAAGGCTTCTTCACGAGAACGAGTCGGTCCAGTGGATGACGGCACATTTAACGTGTGGTCTGACTGCTGACCAGCTGTACCGATATCAGTTTAAGCACATTAGTATCACACTTAATTCCTGAAGTGCATTTAAAATGTTAGTCAAGGTTTCCTGCACCAAATAACAAGCCACAACTGCTTATGGTAGATTGTATGGTATTGTCGATTTGGAGACGATAGATAAACAACAACACGCTGATGTGTATCAAACACTCTCTCTGCTGTCCATGTCGATATCACTGCGTGTTACTGTCAGGTACGTTATCACTGAGAGATTTGTGACTGGTTACCCCTGGGAATATTAGTATGCTGCAGTGCTCTTCACTGTCAGGCTCCTGGCCACCAGTGTGATATCTGGGAAAACAGATGTCAAAATGCATTTAAATGAAGCTTGATTGGACAGGGGGCACTTTGCATGCTATTTGACAAATGGCTTTAATAGGTCAGATGAAACTGGATGAATACTAATGAGAAGAGAAAGGAATGGAGATCAATCTGAAATCTGATTCAGTTCGATTGGATTCATTTAAATCACAATCATTTTCAGTTTGCCTTGATTAAAATGTGATCTAATGTGATTTACTTCATTTAAATCTAAATTAAATATGCTAATTAGTGGACTTTATCTATCAGTTGCTAGAAAGCCCAATATTCTGCAGTCTCACCTTATGACAAACAACTTTTAAGGAGCTTTAAAGGGGTCATTGGATGCCCATTTTAGACAAGTTGATATGATTCTTTAGGGTCTTAATGAATGTGTAAAAAACAATTTTTTTACCCTTTCAAAAATAGCTCTTTTTTCAGAGCAAGCCGTTTTGTAGCATTTTCCTTTAAATGTTAATGAGCTCTGCTGACCCCGCCCCTCTCTTCCGAGCTGCTCTCTGAGGGACTGTTTACTTTAGCCGTATCCATAGTGAAACTTGCTAATTAGTACATTATTAGGAAAGGCGATTTGCAAAGATTCATTAAAAAACTTACACTCACTTCTTCTGTAGGTGAAGCTAGATCATGAATGATTTGCGCGAACATAGACACATTTAGGTAGATCGGGGGCGCATTCCCTTCAAAAACAAACGTAATCCACTGCGTCTTCAGCGGCTCAGATGTCGGGAGTAAATGACGACTGCTATGTTCATTATTACATCCATAAAAAAGCCTTTCACAAAAACTGTTTGTTTGACAAATATATATATATAGACGGTCATTGTAAAAGTCAAAATAGTCAATGTAAATAAATATGGATACATACACAGAAAAAAAATGAAAACTGAAATTAAAATATTGCTCAATGGAAAGAGATGATGTATTGGAAAAACAGAAGAACACTCTTGATTCTGCAGTTTTTCTACAGTGTGTTTCAGTGTGAGGGAAGACGGCATCTGTATAGTACTGAAATAAAAAGAAGAATTATTAAAGCACAGTGGATAAGGCTATTTCTCAACCCTAGAGGGACGACATACTGACCACTCCAGAGACACTGAGTGAAAGAAGAAAAGCGAATGAGGCAGAGTGACAGGAAGTAGATGAGGGCCAGATGGATATGTCATCAGCTAAGCTGTGATTCAGCAGCGCTGGTTATAAAAACAGCAGACGGACTGGAGGAACCCACAGACTAAAAAAACGGAAAACGGTCACTTTTACAGGTCCTTCCTAACACACACACACACACACACCTAATACATAGCAAAGCATACTGACAGTATCTCCAAGTACAAACAGAAACGTGTGATTGTCTGTGAGTGTGCACACTTCAAACATTGACGCAGTAACATAAAACATAAGCATATTTATCAGCCGAAGATTTTAATTGACAGCTTGTTGAAGTGTGATGAGGAGCAAACAGGAACAAATTGGAGGTGGAGAGCAGGAGGGGTGAAAACTTGAGGGAAAGAGAGTTTTATTATGCAAAGCCATCTGCCAAAGACAAACATGTCTCAAAACCTGTTTGAGTCCTGATTGATTTATGAGTCTCATCACAGGTGTGATTGCGTGCGTGTGTGTGCACACGTTTGGGTGTCACATTTGTGTTTGTACAGGCATGTTTGCTCACCACTGTCACAATAATGTGTGTGTGTGTGTGAGAGAATATGTATTCAACACAGAGTGCAGAGCTCCCTCATGAGATCT